TTCATGAATCAGACACCGCTTCTGCGTCTCGGAGCACGTGATATATATCCTTATATATTATAAGGAGTAACGATAAGTTTTATGAAATGTAGTGAAGTAAAAAGTACGATCTTATGCTTTGGAATGTAGTGAAGTAAAAGTTACTCAAAATAAAACTACTCCAGTAAAGTATAGATACTTGAAAAATGTACTTAAGTAGTAAAACTACTTCGTTACTGTCCACCACTGCTTCTACAGCAACAAACTACTTTTTCAAGAAGTGTAGTGTGATAAAACATGTAATAATCAAACATGCCTCTCATACAGAGTTGGGAAGTCTAATTAATTTTAGTGAATCGATTCACTCTAGTGATTTGATTCATTCTACTCAATTAATCCACTCTAGTGAATTGACTAATTTGAACAATTCATGTATATTCAATAAAATTAAATAAATAAATAAAATAAAAAAATTCCAGATTGCCCCTACATGGCATTTCAACTAAATATTTAGGAATAATTTACCAAATAGTAGGAATAGTTTACACATTTCTGGAGTTATTTACTCATCCTCATGACTGTCAAGCTCCAAAAAGTACAAAAAAATCACTATAATAAAATGTATTTAAAAAACCCATATGATTATATTCTAATCTTCCTATCATATGTGTACATTGTGTGAGAAAAAGACAAAAAATTCATCATTTACTGATAATCTGCATATCCATTGTGGTTCTAAAATAAAAATGGCACCTAGAGAGCAGGCAGAACGTTGATATTGGTTTAACACATCATTAAAAGTGTATTATAACCAAACATCACAACATCAGACCTGCACTGCAGGTGCATATTTTTTAATAAGTAACATTTTTTTTTTCTGAAACAAACATTCAAACTTAATGCTGTCACCAACTGAGATTCATTTGATTTATTCATTTAAAACTCTTAAATGATTTATTCAATATTTCAATCAGATGAGATTTTTTAAATTTAATTTCCAGCTAAAAAGTACTATATTGGGATGAATTTAGACATGTACCTTGAAAGTACCATGCTATTTCTGCTACATGCTATATCCCATGGTATTAAAAGAATACCATATTCAAATTGCACACATGGGATATAACATGTAGCACAAATAGCATGGTATTTTCAAGGTACATGTCAAATAACTGAATTTAGACTCATTCACTTGCTGTTTTATTAATTTATTTAGTAAGGGTTATTTAGTTTTTTTTTTTTTTGTGTGCTAGATAAATCCTGTTCATATCATCAGATGTGATATACTTTAAAGGGGTCCTATTATGCTTTTTCACTTTTTTTTAATGCTGCTGTTTGAGCATAAAAAAGATCTGCAAAGTTACAAAGGTCAAAGTCCACTTCAAAAGGAGATATTTTATTTAACAGAAATCACTTTTCAAAAACTACAACGAACGACTAGTTTGGAATACAACGCATATTTTCCGGGATTTGTGATATCACAAATATCGACGAATGGGACGAGATCTGGTTGAGCTGCACTAGAGAAGGCAACGAGTGTTATCTCTATGTCGGAGACACGCTAGCTTTCCCAAGGCAGATGAACTTAGATTTGATTTTGACGCAATATTTACACTGAAGCTCGCAGGTGGCTATGGTAAGGGGCATGACATTTCCTGACCAGGCGCCGAGTGGAGCCAATCACAACACACACTGGCCCAGCTAACCAATCACAGCACATTTCGTATTTCAGAAGGCGGGCCTTCATTTGATACAGGAACTATTTTTTTCAGCAAAAATGTACTACATTGGGATATATATACCGTTAACATAACATAACTCTCATAGCTTGTACTGTCATATAACGTTTTTGTCATGATTTTGACACATATACACCATGGTAATAAAAGAGTACCATATTCATATTGCCCACATAGGCTATTTACTTTTATATGCTACTTCAAGAAATAGCATGATAATTTCAAGTTACATGTCTAAATGTATTAATTTGCTTTTCTATTAATTTAATAAGCATCTTAGCAAACTAGTTTCAGGTAGCTTCCCCAACACTTATACATGTTTTATGGTAATTATGATGTGTGTTTTGTGTGTGTGATATCACTCCTGAGAGATTGATCGGGGTCCAGTGGGGGAGGGATTCAGCTCTTATACTGCAGTGGGCAGAGATCAATAAAACTCAGGGGCGAGAGAAAGAGAGCCACAGTATATCAAGATTAAATAAATGTACAGCTCACTCACGGGCTCACGCCTTGCTGAGGGAATCATGGGGGCTGGAGAGGCTGTGCGAGGAGAGAGCGAGAGTGATTCACAGCGCTGCATGAAGACAGCCTTATTGAACCATAAATTCGTTTGGTTGCATTTTTTCAGCAGCCTGAGATTGACTTCAGATACAGTCAGAGCTGCTACAGAGACACTGAGATGCACAGCTATCAGAATAACCACACGGACACTGAACATCTGCCATTTGTTGACTCAAAAAGAGCAGATTTTGATACTTCAGAGGGGCAATGGCTTGTGTGGGAACTAATGATGCACCGGCAATCGAAAATATTCAGCCCAAAATGAATTTTCAGTTTTGGCTGAAACAGAATTCATGTAATTAACGTTTCTCTGATGGCACATTTCGACTGTTTTAGTGTCTATTTCATGCACTCAACATAGATAAACTATAACAGGTAAACATATCAGCACTGTGGAAGCTAGTTCTAGGTTGACAATATTGATTTGTCATTTTTAATCTTCATTTGTTGAACTCTGCTTGAATAAAACATTACTAAACATTATTTGTAGCACGCCTCCCACCCAATAATCGCAATAAGCTTTGTTGCTTTTGATTGAATCAAAGTCTCAGATCTCCATTTTATAACAAAATTTAAACAATAATGTGGTTTTGAAGCTTTTTTTATCGCTTTAGCCGCCACTTTTCAAGCAGCATGTGAACCGATCATCTTTACTTCTTTACTACTAGTTATAACATGAAATAAAGATGAATGAATATCAGAAAGCATGTTGAAAGAAAGGGTACAACAGTACAAAAGATGTCAATAAAACAGCTTGTAAACAACATTTACCTCAGAAAAGTCAATTTAGAGAGAAGCATTTTGCTAAATATATGCACTATATTACATATTCATTATATTTTTACTTAAACTGTTGTCTTCATCATTTAGTGCATGTTTAAATAAATTTGTTTTTATTACAGCCATTGTTTAAATGTTTGTATATCAACAACAAATTAATATAGCATTAAAACTTGCCTTGTGTGCAATTTAATTTTTTATATACAGCTGGTTTAGAGTGTTGATTATTAAATGAATTTGATTAATTAATCGATTATTTAAAAATATATATATTTCCAGCTTCAGCTTTGGCTAAATGAAAACTTGAATTTTGGTTTTGTAAAAACAAATCGGTCACCCATTAGTTTGGAGACCAATTCTCACTATTATCTAACTATTAAAGTCCCCCTGTAGTGAAAATCAAGTTTTTTATGTTGTTTATTTGTCTATATGATTTTAAGGGATAAAATATTTGACTACAGGGGGACTTTAACTACTTTTGCCTCAGTAAACTCCTTATTTGCAGCTTATTAATAGTTAAGGGGTCTAAAATATGGTCATGCAGAATTAAGCATTAATATGTGATTTATAAGCACCAATAAACAGCCAATATGCTAGTAATATGCATGCTAAAAAGCAACATGTTAATAGTGAGAACTGGTCCCTAAACTAAAGTGTAACCAAAAATTAATTTCCGTGCATCACTAGTGGGAACTTTATAATGACTTTTCAGCAGGTTAAATGTCTTAAAGCAACATGCACAGGTAATCTTCCAGATGCAATCTGTCGAGTTTCAACATCAGCAACAGCATTCACGACCCATTTAACATCCATAATGTGATGCATTTCTGAAAACTAAAAAACAATAACATATATTTGTTATCATTATTTCAGATGAACCTGCCCCTGCACGGCTCATAAAAACAAAACAAACTGTGATTGATCGCTTTATATCTCAGCCAGATGGTCGCTTCCTGTAAGTGGCTGGTTCTTGAGCCAGAATAAGCTGCAGTGTGGAACAGACCTTATGCAGTTTAGTCAAAGCTCTGGCTACAGTAACGTGAGACTAGAGAAAGACAGATGAGAATTAGAAAGTAAAAAGTTACAATCGTGCGTCTGACCTGCAGAGAGTCTCGGCCGCGTCCTGGGCGTCTGCATCTCTTGCCGCGCGTGAGGCAGCATGTGGTAGCGCTTGGCCTCGTTGACCAGATCTCGGCAAGCCTCAGACGATTTAATCAGCTCCTCATTGTCCACCACGTTCAGCAGGTAACTGGGGTGAATGAATGGAAGTCTAACGACGGCCAGCAACTCGGATATGTGCTGTGTGAGAGAGAAGTATATTCACCATGTGATTTCAGTCAGAGCTTCCTGTCTGCATTACTATTGAAAGACTTCAGTGATTCTGATTCAATTCCACGAAACAATTCTTTTAGTACATGAAGAGTGAATAGAAGTCCTACTGAATATATAGTACCGTATACTTAAATACCAATACAATAAATACTACTACTTTGTACCTTCTTTGAAAAAAAATACCACTTCTTTGTAATTTTTTTTAAATATAAAGCACCATTTATTATGATAAAACAAATGTGAATCTTCTACTAATCATATAGTACGAACAAGCTTTCAGTCTCTCGTATGCTATCATTGTAACAGTTCTCAATTTATTTTAATTTGGACAAGACAAAAGCAATCACTTGCAGTTCATTGTGTAAGTCAAAACAGCTCGGATTGATTCAGTGAATAGTGAGTCATTAGAATTAACTCATGAATTCAAAACAGATTTTAGACTCTTTAACAGATTCATTTCAAAGAACTGACTCAAAAAAATCAGAATCACGTATATACAGTACTATCAGACAAAAGTAATGAATACTTTTATTCAGCGAGAATGCATTCAATTTATCAAAAGTGACAGTAAAGACATTTATACTGTTACAAATAAATTTGTAAACGTTCTATTAATCAAAGAATCCTGGAAAAAAATGTATCATGGTTTCTACAAAAATATCAAACAGCACCAACTGTAAATATTTGTAATAATAAGAAAAGTTTCTTGCGCAGCAAATCAGCATATTAGAATGATTTCTGAAGGATCATGTGACACTGAAGACTGGAGTAATGATGCTGAAAATTCAGCTTTGATCACAGGAATAAATTACATTTTCAAATATATTCAAATACAGTAGAAAACGGCTATTTTAAATTGCAATAATATTTCAGAATATTACTGGCTTTACTGTACTTTGATAAATTAAATGCAGCCTTTGTTAGCATTTCTTGCAAAAACATTCAAACTGAGGACTATCCATGGCCAGCTTGTTTGCTGAGAGTCATCCTCAGTGGGGTGTTTTGCTCACGTCAGCGTTAAATGCTGTAAACACGAGCTGACAGGGACAGCAGCCAGCCCGACCCTCTCACCTCTGAGCTCACAACACATTACCTAAACATCCGTAAGAAACACTGACACGGCCGGTGCGAACACCTGGGCTTCTGTTGTCTCTCAGAGCAAGACGTGGAGAGAGATTTTCCCTGATCTGACCTTGACAAAGTACTCTTACTAGCCATTCCTCATTAAAGGCAACATTTCGTAGTGAAAGTGCATATTCAATTAGAAGAAAATGTAGGACGAGACTTAATTTTATCTACTGCGAATTTAATGGATTGTGAAAAGTATGTAGAGGCTGAAGGTCAAAATCACCCTCGGGAGCACATCCATGTATCCTAATGCCAAGTCTTCTTTTTCAAATCTATCAGTATTTTCAATTATCGCTGTAACTTTTATTACCTTAATCATTAAATTACTGCATACTGGCAAAATTAGAAAGGCTGCACCATCTACAACAGAAGCCTAAAAATTATTGAAAATATATAATCAGTACCATATCATCTATCTATCTATCTATCTCTCAAAGTTGTATAAATAAATATTAATTTAGCTAGTTGGCTATTTAGCTAAATGAATGAATGAATGAAAAAATATCAACAAATAATCAACATGGTAACAAGGTGCACATTAAATCCAGTTATTGTGTGAACAATAAATCCAGCTAATATAATGAACTAATTAATATTACAATTAAAAATAAATATGTATTAATTAATTTAGTAAACTGGCTATTTAACAAATATTAAACATAAATAAATAAATATGAATCTACATAGTTGGTTATTTATAAAAAAAACACACAAAAAACACATTAAATCCAATGCACATTAAGTCTATAGTTATATTGTGAACAACAGATCATGCTATAATAAATTAACAATATAATTAACATTTATTTAGTTAGTTTAACCATTATTAAAACTGTATAACTAAACTTACATTAGTATTAACGTAAATAAATCAATCAATAAATAAATGAATTATATACACACACACATACATATACATATATATATATATAGGCTAGGTGGGTATTTATAAAAAACAAAACAAACAAACAAAAAATATCTTGATCCCTTACCCAGTATCCCCAAACAAAAACAGTTTGTTTAGCAAACATGTTCCCCAAACAATAGAAGGCAAGAGGCCAGCCGCACGCAACGGCCCGAGAGAGATTTCAGACACATGTGCCAGCTCTCAGCACGGCTTTACACAGACTTGGCTAAACCATCTAAAGTGAGTGCCGGATCTGAACTTTTTGGTTTACCTCACCACACTGGCAAGACTTCCACCTTTATGGAATGTTAATTGCTCTGTGTTTACATGTCATATGTGCATCATTTGCATACTGATATAATAACCGGCACGCTTGGTTTAGCATATGTCCCCCCCAACAGGATCACATATCGTTGAACTGTTCCTGAATCCCGACTGTGAGATCAGGGATTAAGGACGGCAGAACTGGCCTGAACCCAGTGAGGATCTGATCTAAAATAATGTCACGGCAGACGGACGCTCCCCCGGCGCCACACTCCTGCCAGCGTACGGGTTTAACCGACCCAGCCAAACCGCTCTGGACTGGTTAGAGAAAATAATCACGAGCTCCCGGCTCGACTCGGCCGCTGGGAACAGACGAGGGGGGATTTGAGCTCCAGCTCATAAATCTGAAAAACTAAATGCGTTGCTGGTGCTCGTAGGCTTCTGTCTTGCGCCAGGCGATTAAGTGATAGTGATAAAATATGCAACCCTCCAGAAGAAACGAAAGAAGCAGAAGCAGCAGCTCAGCGGTGACAGATTTCCCCCTGAAGGATGAAAAAGGCAACGGAGGAAAGAGATCAGAAACTCAGATGAAACTAAGATGAAGAATTCCACTTTGATCCACATCCTAACATAAACACCAGCCTTTAAAGACTTTAAAAACAAAAAAAAGTGTCAAATTTGCAGTACAGTGTTTATTTAGAGTTCATAATTAAATACAACTACAATATTATTATTATTATTTTGATTATAATGTTAAAATCTAAATTGAAATATTTTGTTGAAAGAAAATTAAACACTTATTAAGTGTAATTAATATATTATTAATATATTAAATAATACGTTACTATATTTTATTACATATATAAATGTGATATATTCCTCATAATTTATTTTTAATAAAATATTTCTTTTTAATATTATTCGAAATATTAAAAGTATGTTAAAAATGATTTTAAATTCATTTTAAAACACACACACACACACACACACACACACACACACAATTCTCACAAAATCTCACAATTTTATTATATATTTTATAACAATGTGATATATCATATTATATAATTTGATATCTTTACATAACTTAAAACACAAGTTATAATAACTTTTTTCAATTTTAATAATTTTGCATACAAAATATTTTTAAATTTTTAATAAACACACATTGCACACTAATTTACATATATAAAACTGAATGTTAATTTTAAACTAAATTGTAATATTTTAACAATGAAAATATATTTTGACATTGAAAATATTTTTAAAAATTATGATTAATATGAATACACTGTATTATTGAGGTTATTTATGTAAATATACAGGTTATGTAAATATAAATAACCTCTTATATATATTTATTTGTTTTTAACTATTTTATATCACAACCTTACACTATTATATATTTATATTTTATACATTTAACAAGAGATTTGCTTTAAAATCAATTTCCAGTATCATCTGCCCACCCTCATGTTGCTCTAAACTTGTAAGGCTAAATACTTTGACAAAACATGACAGATCTGCTCCCCTTTATTAACAGCCATATTATCAGAATGATGCTTTTTAAATATTTGTGCACTGCAGCTTCAGCTAGATTTAGAATTAGAAGCCCTTTTTTTCCAGCTATGTTGGGCTGTTTTACCGTCTGACCTCTAACCCAGCACACAGCGCTGTAGAAGCGCACCCATCACATGCGGTTGTGTGAATTATTCAGCCATAAACAGCACAGGGAGACTCACGCTAAGGGCATTAGTAGCACACAGCCGCTCCTCCCACACATCCTGTATCCTCTGCCTCATTTATATTCATGTATCCAGCACCTTGTGCTTAGACTCCTTCCAATGCTAGGCTCAATTAGTCAATGAGCTTAACGACGCCAGTCTCCTGCGCATTAAAATCAATGCTAAAGGGATCTGACATCCTGCCATTTGGGTTGTGCCTGACGGACTTCATCAGGAGGGTGTGTGAGGCTCACATCCGTGAATCAGCTCTAATTCACACACCTCAGGCTCCCGGAGCGGCCGGCAAAGTCCCTATCCGCTCTCTGTCAGCTCGAAGAGCTATTTGTCTTCGTGTCTAGGCATGCCGTTAGCGCATTTCCCTTCTGTCATCCAGGACCTCCGGGACAGAGGGTCCTTCTGCTCCTGTAATGTAATTGTCAGGTGTTGATCACCAGAGAGAGAGAGGGACGGCATGTGGGGTGACGGGACGATGTGCTGTATGCATGCATGAGGAGAATGGAGATCACACAACGTGCTCTCAGCAGCAGAACCATTAATTCATAAATGTAGACTATTGCTCATATTTATGGATATGAAAAAATGTGAACTTACATTTTTTTATACATTTCATTTTGAAAATGATCAAACAAACAAAAATTTGCAAAGATTGCATATCTCTAAGATACATATCTATATAAATAACAATTTTTTTTTCAAATATTTTCCAATATGCTCTACTATACACACACACACACAAACAAGAACTTGTATAAATATAATTGTAAAAATACACATTAAAATTTTATTATCAAATTTTTTTTCCATATATATATATATATATATATGTAAATCAAATAAAGATAGCGATATATATATATATA